AGAGTTTACATATTTCCCTTAGGTAGTACAGGAATAAACCAGACTACCCGAGAGAGTTTACACGTTTCCGTCAGGTAGTACTGGAGTAGAACAGGGAGAGTTTACAATCGCCCGCAAATCTTTTATACACCTAATAATAATCGTGATGATCTTTGAACTACTGCAATAATACCAAAGGTGCAAGTGCACCATCGTGCATCCCCCGTAATTTCGYCACTGATTTTACATTTTTGATTTTATAATATTGCATATCTTGCAATATACCATAAAGTGAAAAATTAAAAAGCTTCAAATCAACATTGTTAAACCTGTAACTTACTATAATATATTCTAAATAAATTTGAAAAATCTGAGCAGCTTTGGAACTTAGCAACAAACCGACGGCAGCCAACGAGACTGCACATTCKCATACTACGAAACCTTTTTTTTTGTGAATTTTTTCAAACTTGTTCAAATAGRGTAAAAGTATAGTAGTTATTAGGATTTAAACGTTCAAGGTTTCTAAACATTAGAACATCTAATATCCCGTTATGATTGTCGGTTAGTTACCACTATCCAGTCAAAGCTATTAAGTTTGAATAATTCTTAAAATATTGATTCTTGATTAAATTTATGCTAAAGGGTGCTGATAAAGTGGTGCGAACCGCAAGAGGTTRAACAAATCGAATAGAATCAGAAGTCAAAATGACGAATTTTCTTATTAGATAATGTAGCTCATTTAATCATAATATCTCTAAATAGATCCATACATCATATATATGACATAAAAAAAGTATTTAGACTAATTAACTATTAATTATAATAATTGAAACCCGATAGGAACCAACCATTGGTAACTTAATTATTCTGGTGAAAGGTAACTATCAACGTGTTAAAACAGTAATACTGGATATTAATTTTTTTTAAATTTATCTCTAATTTTGGATACAGTGTAAGCCCTGTAAATGTTATTGTAATTTCAAGATTGTATTAATTTGAATTTTTTATTACCTTTTTACACATACGATTTTCTTTCTCTGGTGGATACAATAAGCGTGAATGTATAAGAGCATTAAAGTACTGTATGATCGTTAAACCAATGGATGAATTGCTAAAACTAAAATTTAAATAAATAATTATATAAAATTTAAATAATGATAGAAATTATAGTATAGTTACATTGCTTCTGGATCTGAATTATTAAAATCTTGTATTAAACGATCAATAGTGAGTTTTTTTGTGAATTTTACAAACTAAAAAGAAACAAACCAGTAAAATTAAATTATTTAATCTATACTCTTATAAATTGTTACATACTCGTTTATTGTGCATAACCATATGAAAATCAAAAGCAATTCTGTTTCTTATGAYATCYGGTAYATTGATTTYTGGTATAACTGGWGCTGGGACAGTAAATGTAACATCTGTTCCTTCAATACTGGCTGCCATTTCAGCTTCTTCTCTAGCTTTGTCCATCTTCATATGAATTTCAATTATCTTTCTCATAACTTCTCTACATTCTTCACCATCATATGAGGAATCATCCGATCCAGTTTCTTCATCTACATCAGTTTCTTCATATTCTTGATTTCCATCATATGCGTCAAAATCTTCACCTTCAAAATCTTCACCTTCAAGTTCTTCAGCTTCAAGATCTTCACCTTCAGGGTCTTCAGCTTCAAGGTCTTCAGCATCAAGATCTCGAGCTTCATGATCTTCAGCTTCAGAAACTTCAATGGATTCAACATTTTCAGTTTCAGATTCTTCAACGTCTTCATTTTTTTCATCTTTTTCAGATCCTTCGACTTCTTTAATTGTTTCAATTTCTTCAATGGCTTTAGATCCCTCACGTACTTCAACAGTTTTAGTTTTTTCAAGTTCTTCAGTAGCATTTTCGACTTCCACGTGTACTTTAATTTCTTCATCAGCAGTTTTAGTTCTTTCTTTCTTTTCTTTAGCAGCTTCAATATTTTTGTTAACTTCCACATCATTAGTATCTAAAATGTCTTCAGTTGCTTCGTTCATTGATTTAATTACCCCTACTTTTTCAGGAATTTCTTCTTTTTTGAGAGCGTCTTTTTTTTTGGGTGTGTCTTCTTTTTTAGGAGCGTCTTTTCTTTTGGAGGTATCTTCTTTCTTAGGAGTGTCTTCTTTTTTAAGAGCGTCTTTTCTTTTGGGAGTATCCTCTTTCTTAGGAGTGTCTTCTTTTTTAGGAGTGTCTTCTTTTTTAAGAGCGTYTTCTTTTTTAGGTGTAGCATCTYTGTTAATAATGTCTTCTTTTATAGGATTATCGTCTTTTTTGAGAGCGTTTTCTTTTTTTGTAGTATTATATTTTTTAAGAGTATTGTCTTTTTTAGGAGTGTCTAATATTAAAGCGGTGTCTTGCTTTTTAGTAGTATCTTGTTTTTTAGCATTATCTTGTTTTTTAGTAATATCTTGTTTATTTATTTTGTCAATCACTTTGTTTTCTTCAATTGATTCAGCTGACTCTGTTATTACATCATTCTCAGTTACTATAGATTTATCAACTGATTTTGTTACTTYAGATTCTTCAATTTTAGAAGTAATGATTTTTGGAGGACGACCTTTTAAGAAAAAAACAATTCTTATAAATACTAACAACAAAGTATATAATTAAAAAAAAATTACCTCGTTTTTTTTGTTTTGGMTCTGWTGGAGAYGGRACATTCACACTTTGATTTAATTCTGACGAAATTTCTGAATATTTCCGTTTTTTCCCTTTGATTGGAGGCGTTACAACATTACGTATTATTTCTTCTTTGACTATAGTGATAGAACGTTTTCCTCCACTCTTTTTTGTATTTGAACTATGTATTAAATATGCAAAACCCAAAATTTTTAATAACTCATAGTGATTGGATTACAACCATTTATAAAGCCCACCTAAAATGTTATCATATTTATTTATTATCTACTACTTTGTTCCCATTTATTATCATTATTATTAATCGGTATAATTCGTTCAAATCATGGACAAAAATAGATGGGCTAGAATCGAATTGGTTGGCGGGTGATGAAGAGCGGCCGCTTAAGATGATAGCTTGCGCGTGAAAGATGGATACAAAARTGCAAACAAAGTGCTATCTATATTCATCATAGCGCTATATTCGCACTTGCATCTATAACTATAGATAGTTTATATTTTGTCGTCAAGAGAGCCACTTACATATTACATATTACTATTGAAATTTTGTTGAAACCATTCAGTTCTCAACAAGAAACTAAGTTTGGGCAATTTAAATATACCTACAGTACACTAAGAATTTTATAATATTTATTGATAATCACTTTTGTTATTTTTATTTTTATTATTATTATTAGGTATATGTCAGTAGGTGTTTTTAAAATATTCAATAAAATATATCTTGACTTGTGAGTGACAAATATAAAAGTATTATGTTTTATTTTTTCCAAAAATAAAACTAAGGTTTATGCAAATAATAATTAAATTCTTACTGTATTTCTTTTAATGATGCCATTTTGTTCATGTTGGCAGCATTAACAGATAATACTCGATTATCGTCTACCCATTCTTCCCATTTACTATTCCACCCTTTGTAATGAATAAAATATTGTGCTTTACCATCATTTGCCTTCCTTCTTTTTAAACATTTTGCTTCATACAGCATTGGTCCATGATAACATAGCAAACTATCGCCTATTAAAAAATAAATATTTACTAAAATGTAATGACAATTATTTACTCTAACTAATACAAAACAATTTTAATTTAAAATAATTGGTATATTATATCATATTATATGTCATTCTTCTACTACTAAAGCCTGTAACATCTTGAAAACTTAATAAAAGATTTAATACATTTAAAAATTAAAATATATATTAACTATATTTAATTATAATTTATTAGTATTGATGTTATGCCTACAGTTTATAAGGAGGCAGTGCATATTTCATAATATACTTTTGCACAGTTGATAATTTATTTTATGGCTCATACCAATATATCAGTTACTTTTTAATCAATTCTTAAACCTAGCATAAACAAATAAAAATATTGGCCACTTTTAAGTCCTGTTAGTATTTACCAACTTTTATTGTCACAATTACGCACTATTATAATAGATACATATTATTATGACGGTTCATATTATTTCATACCACACAATGCACACAAAACTATGTCGGTAGACTGACAAAAATATTGATAGTGAAATAATCAAAATCGTATTACAATATATAATGTTCCTCGGTAAATACATCTCTGTATTACAATATGAAATAAATAATAATTATTATAAGTATAATTATTATAATTATAATAATTATTTATTTATAGATATTATTTAATGTGTTCAATGCATATCATTTCAGTATACTAGTCATAACTCTGATAAAAAAAATTGAAAAATTGAATTACCAATGCACKACTCAAGTGTACATATAAAATAACACTTACAGGAAACACTAACAAAATATGAATAGTTTCAATTATTATAATTCACAATGCTGGCCCAATTGTAGTGCATTTAATAATAAGATTCATATACAATGATAATTCACATCATTCTACATATGAGAACAATGTTAAAAGATTGTTTAAAAATGAATTATAAAACTATTATTTTTACTGGTTTAATATAGGTCTTTTACAACATACCTAGACCTACCCTACAACAAACCTCTATAGGATATCACTATACAATATTGGGAAAAAGTGATCAACATAGAAAGYAGCAAAAATCAATTCATCTATCATTGATGAAATATGTATATATATATATAGGGATCGCTTATAAAATTTAATAATTTATATTTACATAATACCTAAATACAAGTATACAACTAATCAATTTTAATATAATATGTATAATAATGTAGCCACCTAAGGTGTGATATAAGATACTTTGTTTTAATTTTAATTATCTCTTTTACTCAAAGAATAAATCATAATATATACTAATTACACCAATTTATAATATTTTCATCAACTTACCTTCTGCAAATCGATAGTTATCTGCTGCCATTATTTGCTAACAAATAAATAACAAATATGTAGAACCGTATAAGGTTGTAGTTCAAAATATAAG